TAAAAAGTTTTCGTTGATTTCGGTGGACGTTAGTCCTCGCTAACAATAGTTACGTCCGCGGAGATTTAAGACTGCAATTAAAGCTGACCCATTAAGTTGCAAATACTCTAAAAGGAAACATTTGTTAAAATAAATGCCGCTATTTATATAATTAAATGCAAGTAGAAGTTGCAACTTTCGTCAGTTTTTTACATTAAAATAGCTATTTAATTGATTATTCAGTGCATTTTTTTAATATTATGTTTATAAATGTAAATGTCTGGTACAGTAATATCTCATTTCTAAAAGTATAGATCAAAAAACATAGTAAGAATTAAAATTTTAAAGCATCATTTAAAACATTTTTAATATTACTCTGTGAAACATTTAAAAGTAAATATTTTATTTAGAATATTTTTAATGGAACCTTTCATTGCGTCGGCAGTGGCTTTATAGTGCTAATGAGTTGCAATGTTTACTAATTCCACAAAGCGAGACAAAAGAAGCGATGCGGTATGCTCGAATACTGTTGGAAAACCGTTTCGACGAACACTTATAAAATATTCATTTTGAATTCATAAAAATCATTCTTTTTTTTTTAATTGTTCTTTTTTATATAATTGATTTAGAAGAGTTATGTTTTTCGCACTTATGTATGCAGCTTTATATGTAAGCCGCTGCGGCATAAAAACAACAGATTTCGATGGGTGATGTCCTTAGAGGACAATAAATTAGATGTCATAATTAAAAAAAATAACATATATGTTTACTATAACATATTATAATATTCAGAATTATCCAATCTTACAAGCATACATAAACGTATAAGTAACTGAAAATTCTTCGAGTAAGTCTTAAGAATATCTAAAACATCACAGCGAGAGGATATTACGGCGCCCTCTAGCGGATATTGGCTGACACGGCATCTTCCGACAACTTTCAAAATCTATTACAATTCTTTAAGAAAATCTTCGCTCGCAGACAATAAATTTCAAAGATAGAGAAATAAATCTATGACTTGTATAATCGTGACTTAGTTTTGATAAAAACGTACCCAGAGACGTTATAGATTGTCGATATCTAGATTTCTAACGCTTTAATGCTGGTTTGCTAAAGTTTTCATTTCTTTTATCATCACCTAGTGATTCATTAGTGTTAGATTAAACTAAATTTTAACCAAGTAAAACTCAAGTTTTGTAGTTCGGAAACGTATTTCATGTAGTTATCGAACCAAAAAGACTAACGAATGGTTTAAAAATAGCTGGGAAATCGGTCATAAGAAAGACGGAACAGGCAAGGATAGGTTAACTACTAGGTTATAAAGTCCATTAATTAATCTTGTAAGTAAAATTGTATGACATTCAGACATTTATTACTTATGTAAAATTTATAACTTCTTGTATTTATACGAGTATACAAGGAAAATTGTAAAGGAAAATTTCAAAAGTGCTAATTTGAAATATCGACAAATCTTAAGATTACCTTAATATAACCGATACTTTTATTTTCGTAATAAACCCGATATCCCATTCTTCTCAAGAAAATAATTATTTGAGCAGCCACAACACCATAATTACCACGATAATACCGAGAGCTGCTGATATTGAAAATTTATACCGAAGGGGAAGAAATTAAAAAGCTACGCCTCAAGTTACTAGCGAATCAACATTTTTTTTTAAATTACAATATTGAAATCAGAAAAAGAAATCATAATTTTAAATTTTAGTTTACTACTCTTATTAAATTATCCGAATTTACAAACAACGATAATCAGCAAATTAAAAATGTAAGAGAGAAATGTGGTGGAAATTAAACTTTTTCTGTATGAAAATATTTAAACACAGCTACAGTAATTTTTGCAGTTGATGCATTGCTTAATGAATTTGTTATTCTTGATGTTGTTATCGATCATATTACAGATTTAACACTCTCTTAATATATTAAATAATCGATTTGTTAAAGCGGATTACCGCTCTCGCTTGTGACTTACAAACTTTATAACACTCCTGAATCTTCGACGTTAAATGATTAGAAACCGGTAACCGCTGTATTGATTTATGGCTCAAACGATAATTCTCCAAGCGTGTTCTCGATGTTTCTGTTGTAAAGTAGCATGACTAAATTCTTTTTACAATAAGAACTAGACACAAATTTAAAGATAACTTACATCTGTTTTCTTATCTAAAATACAAAGATCAAGAAGACATTTTTAAGTTGAAATGTTCTATTTTCACCTTAATTTTCCATTTAATACAGGAATATTGAAACCTCATCAAATATGTAATAAACTGTCAGAATAATTAAGTCCCTATACATCGTTATCAATGCAAACATATTGACTGTAATTAATGAAGATTAATCCGTGGATTCAGTTATAAGAGCATTAAGTTAAGGATTGTTAATTAATGATAATAAAAACTTTATAATTATTTTAAACGCAGTGTCTCCATAGCACACTTTTTTTGCTTTTATTGCATCTCAAAGTGGCCCATAGTGTTGTAAGAGAAATCTACATTTAGCGAGTACCTTAGTGACGTACGAAAGAATCTGAGCGTGTCAAACTGATTATTAATTTAATTACCAAGGTCTAATAGATATTTATTAATAGCTTTCGCCCGCGACTCCGTCCGCGTGGAATTGAAAAAATCTAAAGTGAACAGCCAATGTGTTCTTCTAGACTATCTTCTATATCTATGCCAAATTTCATCGAAATCCGTTCAGCCGTTTAGGCTACAAAATCTAACATCCATTCATCCATCTAAACTTTCATATTTGTAATATTAGTGAGATGGATTTTTTTATAAGTTTTAACGTATTTTAAATTGTACATTCACCATTTTCTATTACTCTTTTAGAGGTTTAGCAAAAGTATATTTTATAAGAACATGAAAAACCAACATCGGAATGCTTAGCACTCTCGCGAATAAAAGCTCTCTGTAAACGCATTTTAGTGCACCAATTAACGTTAATGCTTTAGTGGTTTCAGGTTTTCTCTTACTTTATTTCTTAATAGCAGTTCATTTATTTCATAGTTTACGTTCTTGTTGTAATAAAACTTGTATTAAAAATAGTTTAAATTAGAAATAGTACATAATTCTAATGTTACGCGATCTTTGTTGATCTTCATCATGGACCAGCCCTTTTCTCTTTCATAGGGTTGTCACAATATGTACTATTTTTTCATACATTTTCAGCCATTATATCTAAATTAATATCCTATCCCCTTTTACACAATTAATCAATTTTATTCGGGTTTATGGTATTTTAATTTTTATTTAAATGAAATGCTAAGAAGTTGTTTAGTTCAAATTAGACGGTTACAACCCAATAAACATTTGAAAGACAGTTACTTGGCACTAACGATTTCAACTTAAATCTTGTTGCATTTTACCGTTAGTTTATTTCGACCTCTTTAGGTTTTGTGTTTAATTGGCTCCAATCCAAAATTCCTCTTATGAGACAGTAAATTTTTAGCCGCATTTATCTCAGAAGTTAGAGAATAAAATTCTTGAACTTTAAACTGGGAGAGATTTATTTATGCTATTATTGTTCTAGGATATTAAATTTGGAATTTATTTCAGTTCAACATTGTAGCCGTAGAATTCTACAGCCGTAACACTTGAATTACTACATATTTTATCTCTGATTTGATAAAGAGAATGTGACTACAAATTCGTTAGTATCATAAAACTGATTACGGCAGTGGAGTTCTACCGTAATGTAAACAATCTCTAGATAACAATATATTTCATATTGCAATAAGGAAATTAAATTATAGGACCTACCACCAAACACTACCATTAAAAAAAGCCTGTACCAGCGCCGAGGTTATGGGGTATGTAAGGTTAGCAACACACATAAAAGACATAGAGACGAATTCAGAACCATTTCGGTTTTGTAAGTCAGTTAAAAAGTCTAAATAATCTGAATACAGCATAGTATTACAATAAATCAGACTTTTTGAAAAGTTTGACTTTCAATTCTTTGTAAATAAATCCTTTAAATTAGAAGTGAATTCTTTATAGAATTTGTCTCAATCGATTTAGCACGACAGTCACGTGCTATACCCTTGTAGACGCCCTTAATCATTGCCTTTGTTACTTCAATGATAAGCACAATTGCCTCGTTAGACTCATCACGGACGTCCCCTCTGATGATAGGTATACCACAAAATACATCATTACAAGGTGCCCTTCCTTAATTATGTTATTTTCCGTCTTGACAATTCTTTGCAACGTTGTCTAGTTCCTTATTTGGACATAGCCGAACATTTAAATTAAATTAAGGTAAACAACATTTTTATTAAAGAAGCTATAGAAACTTCCAGTAGCAATACTTTTTATGTTTTGAATGTATAAATATACTAGCTGTTCCCGTGCGGCTTCATCCGCATGTAATTATAAAAAAAAAATATTTTATTGTTTACATTTGTCAAATTGTCAATAGCAAATGTCAAAATGACATGACATGACAAACCTTGACAATCTTGCTTCCTTGATGTTGGCAGTAACTTATGGTCTCTTTCCCACATTAGGGTTTTTATCAAAAATATTTACCCCCTAAGTTTAATGGCATGAAAATATATAGCCTAAAGCATGACGTAAGTCTTTTTATTAAAAAAAAAGAATCGTTCAAAAATATGCTGTAATTGCTGACATCTTAGGCAACAAAAAAGGTGTCTGTTTACGCTTTATTATAATAGTACAGTGTAGATTAAGTAACTGTTTGCGAAATTATTCTGTGTTGTACGATAGTACTCATAGTAATTGGCAACTAAAGAATTCGTAGCAGTGTTTAAAGTTGCTATCAATGACTAAAATAGTATAATGTTTTAGATGAAGTGCACTTTACATAAAATGTCTTTAGTAACTTCATTAGTGATTTAAAACTGTGTGATATTTTAGAGGTATGTAAGTAAATAAAACTAATAAAAAGTATACATCTATATTTAAACTATTAAAACACAATAAGATCTTTGGTTCAACATGTTATGTGACAAAGTAACTAAAGAATAATTTAAAATGCGTATTCCTATTTAATATCTAAGATTATCTTAATATTCTTACCAATAAAAGAGATTCATATCGAAATTACTATTATATAAAATAATTATTTCTAAATAACTTCAGAACTAACCCAATTGTGGCATATATATTTGGTTATCCAATGAAATTTTGTTGAAATTTTTAATCCAATCTAGTAATCTTAAATATACTTTTGGCTGTTAGCTGTAACTTGCATCATTAAACAATAACTTTATACAACGATGAGATATTTAATTCATACGGCGGAGTGTTTCCCCGTGATGACTCCCGTTTTCTTATCATATTCGTATTCTTTGTGACCACTGTTGTGCCTTAAACTGTCACCTGAAGTTGATTCGCCATTATTCAATAGACCCTTCTTGTCTCTAAAAAGAATTTTTAAACACATAAGTAAATAAATAATAAGAGATTCAAACCTTCTTAATCTTAATATATCTTACTAATGTTATAAATAATCGAGTCGCGAGCCAAAGCTGGTAAATATGGCCAAATCTTAGTAATATTATAAATGCGAAAGATTAGATAGATGGATAGATGTTTGTTAGAGTTTGCAACTTAAATGGCTGAACAGGTCTCAATGAAACTTGGCATAAACCTAGAGGATAGTCTGGAAGAACACATAAGCTACTCATTTTTTTTTAATTCAACATGGATAGAATCACAAGCAAAAGCTGGTAAATACGTCAAAAAAAGTATTTTAATGTCTGTTGTATATTTACCTTGACCGTAGCGTATCTTCTTTCCTGTTCTTCTTTTTGTAACAGCAATTGGCGATGATGCCTTGTTTCCGCCACACTAGGAGCAGCAAATCTAGCAGTAACAAACAAACAAATACTGCCAGTACAGATAATGCAATGATTGCTCCTGCTGAAAGTGTCGGTACCAGGTCACCTTCTGTAAAATAGAACACGTCAAAGATTAAAAAATGTTTAAAGCGTCCTCACGATTAAAAAAGTGTCATAGATATGAGATACTATTAAAAGTTAAAATCACATTTGTTGAAAAACAACTTTTTTGTTAATATAATAATTGCATAAATAATATTGTAGCATTTCAATTGGCACACTAATCACGCCACGATCGCGCCAGTGAAAAAATAGTACAAATGACTATAGAAAGCTGATTAGCTCTTAAGTAGAAATAAAGAGATGTCAAAGAAGAAAATATTTTAGATTAAATAATGTAATAATTACCTGGGACATAAAGTAGAAGTTGTGATACCGAAGAGTTTCCTTGAGAGTTGTGAGCCAGTAATTCCAAACGATATGTTGTATTGTATTGAAGGTCTGTTAACTCAATTTCATTGGTTTCAACGATTTCCTCCTTGCATGATTCTTCCTGGATCTCAAGAGCAGGATCTAACATCTAAAAATATAACAAGAAAATGAAAAAAACATAATTTTAATTCCTTTCATATTGGGAATGAAAAAATCTGAAATTAAAACAGTTAACAGGATTGAATTAAGAACAAGAAAGAATTTACAAATACGGATGAAATATTAATATCGAATTACCGAACAATAACGTAAAGCGTAGTAATCTATTGAGTCTCCATTGCTTTCTGGAACCTTCCAAGAGAGTCTTTGACTATCACTAGTGGCCAGTAAAATTTCATATTCTGTTGCCCACTCAGGACGGTCGGGAACCAATCTGTAATAAATATTTTTAGTACAAAGTCAACTTATAAGAAAACAAAAAGTAACTATGCAATCAATATTTAACCAGAAATTAATATCAAATCGCATTATCTTACTAATGTTATAAATGCTAAAGTTTAGATGGATGGATGGGTGGATGGATGGATGGATGAATGGGTGTATGGATGGATGGATGGATGTTTGTTAGCGTTTGTAGCCTAAACGGCTGAACGGATCTCCATGAAATTTGGCACAGGTTTAGAGCATAGTCTGGAAGCACATATAGGCTATTTTCTATCCCGGGAATAGTTACGGTTCTCGTGGGATTCATTAATTTAGTTTTTTAATATTTACTCGATCATTCTGCAACGGTTCAACATATCTTATTGAAATTTGGCACAGATATAAAACAAAGTCTGGAGTACACATAGGATAAGGTTCATCCCCGAGAAATGTCCGGATTCCGAGGGATATGTAGCTTTTTGTTATTTATATAGTTCGTATGTTTTCTAATACCACGCGGACGAAGTCGCGGACAACAGCTAGTAACTTTTATAAACTTAATCGTAAAATGTGTTTTGTTAGTTTAATGATAATAGCTAGTCGTATCTTACTCTTAATTAGATCTAGATAAATAGTATTTACGTCATTCATTACGTGAACAGCTACATTTAGCTGCAGGCTATAACAATAATCATAACGGCAAGATCTCGCTCTTAAACTTGCGCTTGTCTCGCCGCCTGTTTCATTATCATTTTACTAATTTCGAAATTCAATTAACATTTTCTGGTTCACGTTAATTAATATTCAAGCTTTTAATGACATGAATATGAGTTTTATGTTATTGTAGAAATAATAATTTTAGATAATAATCTGCTTATAATAAAAAGAGCGTTGTTTTCAACCCAGTTAATCCAATCGATAATCTTACATCTTTTATCTATATGTTTGTTTATAAGAAAAACACGTGTTATTATTTACTCCTGGGGAGAGAAAACATACGAGTAAAATGTACGAAGTTCAATATATAAATTTATTAAAACTTACGTCTCTAGAGTAATAAATTCCAAAGTTTCGCTCCACTGGCCCGCGCCGACGTCATTCACAGCTGCAAACTTGATATAATACGTTGTATTAGGTTTCAATTTGTCCACTTTGTATGGTCTGTCTATAGACCAAGTACGATTGATGTGGATATCAGTGATATCATAGTTGTTTGATGCGTCGTATTCAGCCGTGAAGCCGATCACTTCCGGACCATTTACTTCGGCGGGTCCGATGATAGCGAATGTAGCAGATGTTGGCGTTGTTTCAACTATCGTTACCTGAAAATCAAATGGACCGATATCAGAATTCGTGGCAGTTACTAACTTTTAGGTAGCAATGGTAATTTGAAAACTCTGTTTATTTAATTGTATTAAATTCTAACTTGCTCGCGAATTGCCTTGTGTTAAATTAAAAAACATAGTCTATGTTACAGATAAATTAACTTTCTAACGGTAAAAGCATTTTTAGAATCAACCCAGAAGTTTTTGAGTTATTCCAATACATACAAAAATACAAACCTTTTTTCTATAATATTAGTATAGATAGGATGATATTGTAAAGTCAGCCAAATATAATTAAATAATTTTGTTCCAAAAGACAGTTTAAGTTTTTAAGTGTTGAGTCTGATTTTAATATTAGTAATGATCTGTATTTTATAGTTTTATTTAAAAACCACAAAAATACTGCATTCATGAAACTATTTAATATATCATTAAGTTTGTACGTTTACCATAATTAAGAGATTTTATTTACTTGTGGCAAGAGAAGTCTCTAAGCCCAAAGAGAATTACTTACATTTCTGATAGCAGGTGGAACAAATCCTTCTCTTAGTGTTATAGTCTTCGTACTCATCCCATATTCATTTCTAGCTGAACATTCATAGTTTCCATAGTAAGGTTGCTCAATAACTAGCGGTAAGAACTGACCAGGAGTATTTTTCATTTTTTCGTCCATCATTTTGTTAATTTCTACTTGCTCGTTTGTTGATATATCGTTTCCTTGGAACCTATTTTGAAACGAAACAAACATAATTTTGAATATATTAGATCAATTTTAGGGTTTTAAAATTTTTATAATGCCTAAAATATTTTGTGAAGGTTATAGATTGTTAAATAGTCTGGTTATAACTATTTATTTCGTTTAAGGTAGTGGCTTCAAATACTATGAAGATTTTAATAAGCTTTTTGAAACAAAAGTTTTTCTACCAAATCGTCGAACATTTCGGTCGTAACATATTTTTTTATATTTACTCACCGCCAAGCAATTTGTGAACTAGGATTGGCTTCGTGTTCACAACTTAAGTTCACAGTTTTCCCGACCCACGCCCACAATGTTTCTGAGAGTGTTTTAAAATATGGCTTGTGCAACACTGACATGTACATTGTCTTGTTTGTTAAATCAACTGTAAAATAATGAATATGTCTATACAATTGTCAACACACACAGTTAACTTATTTAACTAACATTCTTATACCAATTGTTTGTTTAGAAAGATGCGTGAGCCGCTAGTAGGTTTGCCGATGAGTCCCTCTCCCTCTAATAACACGTATCGTCAGTTAACGCGTAACAATATGAGGCCATCGGCAAAGTGCACAGGCACACAAATGATATGTTTGTAACCACGGAAACCCAGAACGGTTAAACGGATCGAATTCAAACTTGGAACAGAGTTAGATTGCAACATGAATAGCCTTAAGGGCACGCTGTTATTTATAATTTCACGGAGTTGCGGACAATAGTTAGTTGTAATTCTTACCGTCGTTACTCGCAATACAGACATAGACACCGTGATTGATCATAAGTGCTTGACTAAGTGTTACTTGGAATACTGTTTCAGTGTCACTCGCGTTGAGTTCTTTCCAAGATACTCTGAAATAAATGAAAATTAGAGAAAAAATTATCTTGAATTGGTGCATGGAAAGGAAAATTTTCTTTACACAACGAGATCTAAAAATTATATAATATTCAAGAACAATTCAAGCGCTCATTTAACATTCAATTATTATTTATAGACCAACTTTATAAGGGTTCCAAAATCCATAGTTTATTTCGGAATATTATAATTTTAAGTATACCAGAAGCATAACTAACCCTTTGATATCTTCATCAACCTCTCCTTGAAAGCTCAAGATAATCTTAGGTTTTGGTCTTCCAGTCGCTTTGCATGTCACTTCAGCCATTTGACCTTCGATGACTGTGACATTGTTGAATTCTGTGATTTCCGGTGGTACTAATACCTAGAAAAAAGCAGGCAAATTTTAATTTATTAACCATGAAAGTTCATAGTTAACTTTAAATAAAAAAATAAAATAGCTTTATTGATTTTCCCTTTGGGCAGGGGACTGATGTCCAAACTTGGGTGACGTCCTATGTAATAGATCACCAGGTCCCCGGTTAAATGTTTATAAAGTCAAAGTCTAAAATGTAGAGAAGGATTTTACAGTTAGTCATTTTATGGTCAGACGTGGGATAGGCATATAAGGTTTTTTTTTCTAACTTTTAATTTTTTTACGGTCGATTACCTGCACGTCGCCAACCCTACTTTGGATCTAAAAGTTAGGGCCTTTATTTTTTTATGACAAAATAGGAACAAAATTGGCATTTCCATTATTATTTATGTTTATGTAGAATCTAATTGAATATTGTGTTTTAGTTTATTTTTACAAACATAGATAGATAAATCGAAACTAGAACTCACGTCAATACTAATTAATTTAGTTGCATTTCCAGCTTCGTTATAGGCGGTACATTCGTAGACACCTTTGTCTTCCGCGACTACGCTATCGAATATAATGCTATTTGCAATTTCATGCCAAGTCACGTTAACATCTGTCGGCTCCTGGAATTAATTATTAATATCTTATATAAATACCGCCATGATATCGATATATACAGTCAGGAATGATTTATGTATACAAAGAGATTCAAATATATAGAGAAGGCTTAGACACTTCAGTTGATATTTTTTACATAATCATCACTAACGCTATCTATTGATGTATCTTCAAAAATATTTAAATGTTGATATTTCATTTTATAACACTGTTTAATTTGTTGTATAATAAAAGATGGAGCATATAATTATTATGTAAACTGTTCTATTACATGTCAATACAAGTATTCGAGGTGGCATATTAAACTTGACAACTTATATAGTGCCTTTCAGAGAAAGTACCGTAGAGAAAAGTTTGATCACTATGCCGCGTCTATATATTATTTAAATATCTTTAATGATATACTTACGATTTCTGAAACTTTTTTCCACATATAATGAGGATGGGGCATGCCATTTGCTGCACATTCTATAGTCAAAGAACCACCAACGACGACAGTAGCTTGTGGTGTAGCTATCAATCCATCTATTGTAGGCATGTACGTTACCACAACATTTATGTCTCTATCGATTCCTTCGCCGGTTTCAAGATCTGATGCAGTACATTTGTAAACACCGCTATCTTCTTTATTAACATTCTTTATTACGAGTCCTCGTGATGAAATTACTTCGTATTTGTCATCATCTGATATCTTTAAACATACAAAATCCATTATAGTTTTAAGAATTGATTCAAATAATTATCAACGTTTTTTCTTAATTAACTTCGATAGTTTTCTTTACCTCAATAAAACCGTCTTCATTCTTATGCCAGCTTATAAATGGATCAGTCTCACCCCGTGCTTCACAGACAACTAGTTCATCTTTGCCATTAACCACATACTGTGTTTCTGCTGTGTTAACGAAGTAAGGTGGATCTGTAGACATATGATTAACATTTATACTTAAATAGATATAAGAATATTATATTTATTGATTTAATAACATACCGTAAGCTTCCACGTTGAATGTCCTTGTATACAGTTGGCCATTATAACTTGTCAAACACTTGTATGCTCCAGATATCGATTTGGTTACGTTAGAAATATACAATCCGAAAGCACCGTCCAGCCATTCCGTATATATATTTGATTTCGTACCTGGTCTTATAACAATCATTAACTTTAGGAAAAAACAACATTAAAATTATTTATATTATCAATATAAAACAGCTTTACCCTAAGGTAACGATTTCTTGGTCGTTTATGTCGAACCATTTTAAATGTTTGCCCTTAGGGTCTGGTTCGTCACATCTGCATTCTTGGAAGAAGGAACTTCCAGATTTTACTTTAGCTATTTCGGTTTCTTCTTCTGTAAAGCAAGCTTCATATCCTGTAAAAATAATATATAACTCAAACAATACGCCTACTTTTAGATAAACTGTGAAGTGAAAATGTGAAGAAAGAAGTATAAAAAGTGATGAAAGACAGAAAAAGTGTGCTTTTTAAAATACATAATTATTTTTTTTTGTTTCTTTGGCTTTTTTATTATTAAACTCTGTATTCTGAACGTTCTGTGGCATTATCACATTACTCGGATCTTCATAAAAATATACATCAAGGGCCTGTCCCACCACTGGCTGATAGAGACTCAGATAGCTTAAAAATTACGTCACAGTCAGATACGGTAACAAAATCCGATATTTTCATCACATATTTTACACATTGGATTGTTATCAGACAATTATAATTTGGTGGGACAGGCCCTAAGTGTTTTTATTTCCGAAAACCCTATAATTCACGTCGCAGCTAATAATGTTTCACGCGACATTGCAAAGCCTTGACGAGGGTCGTCCTAATTTTTGTAATCACAACAATCTAAGTCCCGTGTCAATAAAATATGACATCTACGTCCCTTATAAGGAAAATGATCTAGAAGTGATTGATGAACTCTGACCATGTTTATTTAATAATACCGACAAACGTAAATTACAACACGAAATACTTTTGTGCGACGTGCACAACAAAAAATACAATTGTTTCAATAATCTATACTTCTATACTATTAAAATAAAGCGTAAACACACACTTCTTTGTTGCCTAAGATGTCAGGAATTACAGCATATTTTTGAATAAGTCTTTTTTTAATAAAAAGCCTTACACTTTCGTCACGCATTAGGCTATATATTTCAACGACATTAAACTTAGGCGGTGAATATTTTGGCTAAAAACCCTAATGTGGGAAAGAGACTATCAGTTGCTGCCAACATAAAGGAAGCAAGATTGCCATGGTTTGTCATCATGTCATTTTGACATTTGCAATTGATAATTTGACAAATGTAAACAATAAAATAAAATAAAATGTTCATAATTTCATGCGGATGAAATCGCACGGGAGCAGCTAGTAAATAAAGAAAAACTAAAGATTTCTTAAGGTATGTTACATGAATATTAAATTGATTAACGTCATTGTTAATAATGTTCCATTATTAAAAAGTTTATTATTAATGAACACTAAGCTCATATGATCAATAAAATCAAAGTAAACAGGCGCATTAACAACAAAGAATATTTCGTACCATGTGCTTCTCAATGAGATCATTTTTATTATCCGAACAAATTTTAAGGCGTAGTTAAAGTGGGTCGCAAAACCAAACAAAACCATAAATCTATCATATAACACGTTAAATTATAGAGATCAAATAAAATGGTGTAATAATTACTGTAAAGCTCTTTATTAAAATGTATCGTTTTTTGTTTTAATTTTATTTAGCTTTCGCCTTCGACTCTGTTCGTATTAAAAAAAAAGTGAACAGCCTATGTGTTCTTGCAGATTATACTCTACATCTATACCAAATTTCATCGAAATCAGTTCAGACGTGTAAGCTACAAAGTCTAACAAACATCCATCCGTCTAAACTCTTGCATTTATAACATTAGTAAGATAATTGTAAAGAGTATATTGTATTTTCTATCACTCAAATACTTAT